CACATCTGTCCAGGGTGTGTGGGGTAAGGGCGGGGGCAGAGCGAGGGAAACGTGACAGCGTTTTTCCTCTTTGGATAAGTGTTGGTGCAGGAGGAAGGATGAGAGGAGGCTTTCATCCCAAACACTGACAGTCTGTGAGCTCTTTCTTTGCTTCACGGGTGCTAAAAGCTTCAGAGAGGTGCTACATGAGCTGACGTACATCAAGTGTCGTCTCCACCAGCAGGAGGACACGGGCGGATGAGAGGGGAGCAGAGCTTTGCTTGTTTTATGTAAGACTGGAGGAGAAGAGGCCGTTTGGAAATTTCCACTGCAGAGCGAGAAGTCGCTGAGGCGCTGGTGTTTTGAAGGAGTGAAAGATGGATGACTTCCAGCCTGGTCGAGGTGTGTTCACTCCTGTCGTCTCCGTCTTCGGGACGCTGCCATGAAGGCTTGCAAAGGCCCCAATTGTCCATTCAGCTGGGCCAATGGCAGGCTAAAAATACTCCTCTTTCATGCGCCGTGGAACACCCTGCCTCTATTTACCTGTCTCCTCAACCCTCCTGACCTGTTTACAGGACCCTCACAGCCAAAGCAGAAAACGCCTCACTGAAAATAACACTTGTGCAATAATTAGACTCGGCCACGCTTGGCCATACTCCAGCAAACAAAAACAAACCAAAAATACCAGCATTTGGCTGGAAATCTGCTTAATCTGCCCCGGCCGTGTGTGCCGGAGTCGGCGCCTCCTGCTGCTTCCACCTGGCTCGCGCGCAGCCTCCGCGTGAGAAGCTTGTTATTTTACAGTTTACCTTTCTGGGATGCCTCCATATTTTGGCACAGGTACACTCAAATATTGGATTAACCCTGGAGTGTGAGGCAAACATGCTCTCGAAGAGCTTAAACTGTACGCGCTCCTGCTGCAGCTGATGTGGAGGAACAGACGGGCGTCCAACAGGCTGCTGTGAAAACATCTGTCTCATTAGGTTCAACTCACTTTCTCATATTGGGCATTAAAATGGTTTGTTTTAATCTAATTTCTGGACACGTTCCAATTTAAATACAGCAGTGATGAGTAAAACTGCACTCCATGGCACAAGGGAGGATCCACAGTTGGAGTCACTTCCTCTGACATGTTTGAGTTGTACTTTTGACCCGCTGTCATTGAAGAGGCTGATTGGAGCGTGTTTTTAAAGGCACTGTTGAGACCATAAATGTAAAGTCCAGCTGGAATAACCAGTAAATGCATTTAACTCTCATTTCCCCTTAAAAGCTACAAAGAGGTTCAAGTCTTACTCTTCGCTGACTGACAGGATTGGCTTGTTCCACCCTTTAATTAAATCTGTAATTGGATGCCAGGTGCCAAAATACTGAGTTTGTGCTTAATGGATGACCCTGAATTATTTATCCAAAACAGTTTCTCAGTACCTGGTTACAGCGTGAAGAAATAAATAAATAAAAACTAAGGGCCTGGGTGAAGCTTTAATGCACACCCCAGAAAAATCATTCTTCACACGCCTGCATGTCACAAACTTCTGACTTGTGACTCCTCAGATTAAACTAAGCATCTCAAAATCCCCTGATTATGCAAACTGTTGTGCTCCTTGTCTTTGAAAAGACCTGTTGAATCACAGTTTTGATCGCCACAAATCAAATCTCGTACGTTTACCCTGACACCTGTGCAGCTGTATAATAAGTTCACTTATGCATCTGTCTGCATTTGCTAATTCACATCAAACTAAAACTAAAGCTCAAGCACATACTTGTAGAATGTTTTAAGACCCCACAAATTGAAATGTAGTACAGTTAGGTTTAATACGCACAAGCTTCTCAGTAGATCAACTCTTAGAGCTTCACAGCTTTTTGCTAAACTCCTGCTCTGATCTGCATCTGGAGAAAGATCCCGTTTGTTTAAGCACATATGTACCCTTGAGCATCAAACATCTGTTTTTGAGAGATGGAAAACTGCAGCAGCAGCTTTGCATTATAAGCGTGAACTGAGACACATGTGGAGGAA